GCCTCCCGGAGCCCGCTGCCCGCCCTGCCCCTGCCCCGCAGCAAGCAGTACCCTTCCTGCCCTCCTGCTAGGAGCCCCGGGGGCCGGAGGAGCCGTACGGCACCTGCCCCAACGGGCAGGGACGGCAAGCTCCCGGCTGCGGGGCTTGGCACCTCCGCTTTGGCACAGGGGATCCTCGAGGGAGGGCCACCAGCCGAGATTGATCTCCATACATCGACTGGACCGACTGGCGGGTCAAGGAGAGCTGATGCGAGGAAGACTCTGGCTCTACTCCTCCTAAACCTGAGAGGGGGGAACTGGAAAATGCCGGCCGAGGACCGCAGCCCTGGGACTCATTGTTCTGCTGCACAAAGGAGGCTCTCTGGTGCCCGAGGACCAGAACCGCGCACCGCAGTTAGGAAGCTGGGGGGTCCCAGCTGCTGCCGGTCCCCACGCTGCTCCCCGGTGCCACGTGCGGGGCACCAGCAACCCCCACTCCTACATCAGGGAAGGGTCCAGCAGCAACGTGGAGCTCAGTTGCTCCTGAAGCACAGCGGGATCCAAACCCAGCGTTGCAGCCCATGGTTGTCATGGTGTACTTACAGCCCTTGCACTACCTCTCTCACGGTATTAAAATGATCGGTGCAGAAAATAAGCCATGAACTTGCCGTGGTACGACGGCTGGCGAGCCACAGGAGGCCGATGCCAGCCTGCAGAAGTCTGTGTTGCTACAGCTTCAATGATCAGAGAAGGAAGTGTAAGCGCTGCCCCGTCTGTCGACGGCCCTCCCAGAACGATTCCTTTCCACACATGAACGACTTTGACTGGAAGAGGAGCGGGATCAGGGCCCCGCTGAGAAACGAGATCTTGAAGGTGCTTACTCTCAGGAAATCTAGGAGTATGAACCGCACCAGGGTGCTGTCTACATGAGCACTGGAATGAGACCCGGTTAGAAACCTCCCGTGCCCGTCTGGTCTTTCAGGAACCAGCGCACGTGCACCGGTACGGGTTGATCACAAAACCCAGTGCAGGCACAGCCCTTTTCTCCAAGTCCCAGCAGACGACAACGACGCAAGATCTTGGACAGGCCTCACCGAGTGGGAGGCAGATGTCTATCGGACCTCTGAGACTTGTTGTTTTGGACCTCACGAAGACTGGGGTCACTGGTCAACGCATTTTGCATTGCACTTTTTACATGAGTTTTCTACTTTTACCAACAAGACGACTGTTGCTGAAGACAAGGGCTGAGCCTGCAGTGACGTGGAAATGCGTTACCTTCATCTCAAACGCTGAAAACGGCGTGCGCGCCTGTGACATGTGCTCCGTCAGCTACTTTCACCTGATATCGCGCTGGATCCCAATGAATGTTGCGTTCGTGGCTATTTCGTCTTTGTTGGCATCACGATCGCTTATTTTCTGAACAAAAGGCCCGCCAGTTAGAGAGTTAGCCACCTCTTTAAAAAACGAGTCCATCTAAACCTTAAAAGTCTGTCCAGTAAAGAAAACGTGTGAGCATTACAAAATAAACCAAGCTCCGTTTGGAGTCTTGCTGTCAGTCTTGACGGGTTACGTGGCGGCCGGCTAGGACCTCCACAGGTTGAGGGCGGTCGCTTGGCCATTTCTAAGCTCAAGCAGAACATGGAGGGTTCAGATGGCTGAACCCTGTTCTGCTAGTGAAAAGTAATGCCACTGCTATTTATTTATCTATACCTATATTTATTTATTTATTTTTAACTGGCACCCCTTTTTATTTGTTCATTCTAGGTCGGTATGAAGAAAAAAAAA